CTGGGACTCATCATTGACAGGCCCAGGGAGAGGGTGGCAAAGAGTTAAGCTTGGGTGAGGGTTGGCTCTGAGCCCTTGGAAAAGGCTTATATCTGCTGCAAAATTAAATCAGAAACTTTCTAGGGAAAGTTGGTCCTGTATGCTCCCAGAGAGGTAATAACGAGGGGTTTAATTCAATTGCAAGGGGGTTGATTGTTTAAGACTTATTAAAGGTTTTGGTATAATAAACCCCAGCATTTTAGTATTTCTAAAATGTATAAATTGATCAAACTCTCACTGATAAAATGATTGTAAGACAGTTTTTACTTTATTTCTTAATAGCTGTGGTAAGAAATTAACTTTAAGCAACTGGCTTTTTAAAATTCTGCCACACATACTGTGTAACTTGAATTCTGCTTTGATAATTCTCTACCAATTTGATAAGTAACCTTATGTAAGCCTCCTGCAAGCAAAAAAGCTCTGAGGGTAATTTCTACATTCTTTATCTGAGGCTTTTCCCAAGGAAGTCAAGCTAGTTAGCATCCTTACAACTTGATTAAGTTGCCTATGATCTAATGGAGTTTGTCTATTTCTTACTAACACTGGCAAGTGATGTCTCAGGCTGGGGTGGGAGGGTTTGTTCCCACTCCTGTCTATGAGGTGGCTTTGGAGCTGTGGGATGGAAGCGCTTTCCAGGTGCAAAGCATCTTGCCTTAATAGAAATTAAATTGGTTTTGCATTTGTTTGAAAATTGAAAGTTCTGTGCAGTGTCTACTAGGCCATTTTAAATAATGCTTTATAGAGAGAGAGAGCTCATTCTGCTGAAACCAAATCTGATTTAACAATGGTTAGGGCCAAGGCTGAAGTCAATCAGTTTTTTAATTGATACAATTGTTTAAGAACAACTATTTAAAAAAAAACTGAAGTCACACTTGTTCAAGAAGCTGCAAATGTACCTGGCTTCCTCGCATGGGGACTTGGGATGCTGATCCTGCAAATTACTGAATGTAAATGGATCCACATTGAAGTCAATAGGGCTCTGCCTCCAAGCAGCTCAGAGATTTGCCCCTAGTCTCACAAGAAATCTGTGTTAGAGGCAAGACCAGAAACTATGGCTCCCAGCAGCTAAGTCCAGATCTCTGCTACCAGACTACAGTGCATCCAATCGGGTCACTTAATCTCTGTATCTTTATTTCTGTCTCTCAAATGGAGATAATACTGATCTGACTCCCCTGTGTGAGTATCCATCCCATAGCCCTCTTGCTTAATGCAAAGCTAGCATCTAGTTTACAGTCACTCCCATGTAATGACTTGGAGAGGTGTGTGGGAAAGAGTTCACCACCTAACAAATATGTGGGCCAACTGTCAGACCAATGAAATTATTTTATGCAGGAGTATGTTACTAGAGGTAGTTTTAAGGGAAGGAAACTTCGATGAGGAGAAAGGGGGTGTTGGTACTACACTGTCCAGCAAGCTGCCATAATGTGTTGTGTCAAAGCAGCATTGAACAAGCTAAGGATGGGAACAGAGGAGTGGCTGAGCCACTCCTCTCTCGCCCCTGACTTTATGGCCTCAGTCAGTGGGGCTGACATGGAGCAGGATAGTCATGAGGTGACAAAAACTGATGTCTCAATGACTTGCCAGGAAGGGTGGGAGGGAGCACTTTGCAAGGAGAATGGTATTCAGGAGACCTGGGACCTTACCTTCTACCACCCTCAATTACACACCTCTCCCATGCGGCACACTAGCAGGTACTTGTCTCCTGCAGCAGGAGAATAGGGCTCCTGGGTTCTACTCCTGGTTCTGCCACTAAATTCCTGGGTGACCCTGGTCAAGTCTCTTAACTTCTCTGACTCCTTATCTATAAAATGGGCGTAACGTTATTGAATTACCTCACAGGGGGACAATGCATTGTCTACATTTTAATGGTTAAGTAAATTATTACGGTGCAAAGTCTATTAGTTGGTGCCTGCTGCAGCTTGGGGTAGCAGTGCACAGGGGAGACTATTCCTGTCAGTAGCCTAGCTATGCTGCCTTTCACAGAGTGTGCAGGACAGGGATGTTATCAGGATATATGTAAAATGAGAATTACTAGAAGGGGCTTGAAGGGGAGAGTGTTTGGCAGAAGCATTTGCTGTGGAAAGAGAATCTGATATATAAAGACAATGAAAGAGAAACAGCAGTGGGGCTTCTAAGCCATGCTGAAGAGGTGGCAGAGTGGTCCAAGCACAACATTTTGAGATATTTAGCGACCAGTTCAAACGTAGGCAGGATTAGATCAGCTGTTCATCTTCAAGGCAGATAGACTGAGCTCCATGCAGTTTGCTGTGGGAAGTATTCTGGCCAGGCCCTAAAAACTGGAGCTCCGTGTGGACATTGGAGAGTATATGATGCATTTTGCAAGAGAAGGTTTTCTCAGTGTCATTACACAGACCATCCTCCCACTCAGCCACCCATCTTGTGCTGTCGTTGGCAGGTGGCCTCCACCCCAGAGGACATGGCCCTCTAGTTCAGTGGTGCTTTATGTATATATTTTGGAGAGTGTGCTGAATAAAAAATGCTGTGTAAAATGTTACAGGATACTACTCAACCTGGACATATTGAATCAAGATGTCTGCTTTCTTTGGGCCGTAGCCAGGGAACAGATTTTTCCCTGATAACCTTCATTATCGCTAACGGTTATAATATCTGAATTAGAGAGTATGAGCATAAATTTTAACTAACAGGACTGATTTTGTGACAAAGGCCCCAAATCTGTGCCATGTACAAGGGCTGGAAACCAGTCACATCATCCCACCAGGGAACATTCCTGTCAAAAGGAATATTCCTTGGTAGCTATGGGCCAATGGAACACTCTTACACTGCACCCGGTCTACATGGGTATTTTGGGGGAAGGCTGGACTAGGTCTAACCCCTCTGTGCTCTGACTCTTCTGGGTTGCTGAACACTCATTCCCTTGGGGACCATTGCAATCTGGACAGAAGTCAAGCATTTAGAAGATGGGAAATGCCAAATTAAGATTTATAGATCAATCTCAATGCTGCCCTCTTGTGTTTATCCCTTGGAATGGTGTCATGAGGTATGTTAAACTATTTTATTCATTAATACAAGAGATCTAGGGTTGCCAACTGTGTAATCACACAAACATCCTTGTCCCACCCCTTCCATGAGGCCCTGCCCCTGCTTACTCCATCCCCCCTCCCTCCTTTATTTGCTCTCTCCAACCCTCACTCACTTTCACCGGGATGGGACAAGGAGTTGGGATGCAGGCTCTGGGCTGGGGCCAAGGGGTTTGGAGTGTGGGAGGGGACTCTGGGCTGAGCCTGGGGCAGGAGGTTGGGGTGCAGGCTCTGGGAGGGAGTTTGGCTATGGGAGGGGGTTCTGACCTGGGGCAGGGGGTTGGAGTGCATGAGGGGGTGTGGGGTGCTGGCTCCAGGAAGGGGCTCAGGGCAGGGGGTTGGGGTATGTGAGGAGGTGAGGGGGGGCGCTTACCTCAGGTGGCTCCCAGTTGGCAGTGCAGCAGGGCTAAGGCAGGCTCCCTGCCTGCCCTGGCTCCACACCACTCCTGGAAGTGGCTGGCATGTCCGGCCCCTAGGTGTGTGTGGGGGGGGGGGGCGGGCAAGTGGCTCCATGTGCTGCCCCTTCCCCCAGAACTGATTCCACAGCTCCCATTGGCCGGGAACCGCGGCCAACAGGAGCTGCAGGGGCGGCATCTGTGGGCAGGGGCAGTGCGCGGAGACCTCCTTTCCTAGGGACCGGACATGCTAGCCGCTCTCAGATGCAGTGCAGGGCCAGGGCAGGTAGGGAGCCTGCCTTAGCCCTGCTGTGCCACCAGACTTTTATCAGTTTAAAATGTCCCGGATTGGCTTCAGTGGCCTCCCGGAAGATTAAGCCCGATTCTGGGAGACTCCCGGCAAAACCGGGAGGGTTGGCAACTGTAAGAGATCACATGACACTTGCAGAGATTTCTCACTAACCTTGCACACAGTAAGTTCCAGCACAAGACATGAGATGTTCACTTACAACCTGAATTCCAATTTGATGTGATCTACAAGCCAAGCTGAAAGAAAATGGTGGTCTTAAAGGTGGGGTGGGTGACCTTTAGAAACCAAACAAAGCATCCTGTCCTCCTCCTAACCCCATGTCCACCCCCAGAGGAGATAGCTCAAGGGAAAACTGTAAGAAAAACTCCACAAGCTTCCTCTAACGCCTTCTCCCTTGCTTTCTTCTGTAGGCTCTTACCCAGCAGGGTCCATCTGTTGTATGGACACTCACTAATACACAGCTCGGCCCAAAAGCATTCAATAAGCTTTAATATCCAGATGTGGTGGGGTTGATCAGAACCTAATAACGATTGCACAGAATTCAGATGCAGACTCAGACTCCTTTTGAAAGAGCAGCACTGCAGATGACCTGCTTTAGAACAAATCCGAGCTATCCAAACATTCACAAAGCACTTAACGTTGCGTAGGCTGTATATGTAACCCGCAAACCTCCTGGGTGTGGTGTTCTGGCCTATCTAGTGGTACTGAGACCATTTAGAGAGAGAAAGAGAGATTGGGTTTGCTCTACATCCTTAGCTAACAGCCATATGGCTTTTAGTTCATGCTGTAGAGCAGTGGTTCTCAACTCTGGTCCACCGTTTGCTCAGGGAAAGCCCCTGGCGCACCAGGCTGGTTTGTTTACCTGCCGCGTCTGCAGGTTTGGCCAATGGTGGCTCCCACTGGCTGCAGTTCGCTGCTCCAGGTGCCGGAAGCAGCGTGGGCTGAGGGATGTGCTGGCCGCCCTTCCAGCAGCCCCCATTGGCCTGGAGCGGCAAACCGTGGCAAGTGGGAGTGGCGATCAGCCGAACCTGCAGACGCAGCAGGTAAACAAACCGTCCCGGTGTGCCAGGGGCTTTCCCTGAACAAACGGTGGACCACAGTTGAGAACCACTGCTCTAGAGGCTCATGCACTGAGGCCCCAAGTTCGATCCCGCCCACCAACGACTGGGGTCTGTCGGTGTTACATATACTAACGCTCCTCTTTCTGACACAGTTTAGTTACTGATGGAAGATCAAGATGTTATTACCGAAGTCCCTGCAGCACTGAAACGGCTGGCCAAATACATGGTGCGTGGCTTCTATGGGGTAGAGTACTCACTGGTCCTTGACTTATTGATCCGATATCCCTGTGTGAAGGAGGATGACTTGTTGCTACTGCTCAAGTATGAACGCAAACAGTTGCGCACTGTCCTCAACACACTCAAGGCAGATAAATTTGTCAAGCTGCGCATGCGGGTTGAAACAGGGCCCAATGGGAAGAGTACAAGGCACAACTACTATTACATCAACTACAAGTTGCTGGTGGACGTGGTGAAGTACAAACTGGATCATGTGCGCCGGAAGATAGAAGCAGATGAGCGGGATTCAACCACCAGGTCCTCCTTCAAGTGTCCATCCTGCTTCAGCACTTACACGGACCTGGAAGTAAATCAGCTGTTTGACATATTCACAGGTATGCCAACTAGGCTGCTCATCTGCTCTCATCCTTCAGGAAATTGTTGGCAGCATTAGATGTGTCTGCACCTGTGCACATTTTGTAATAGAACCAGGTTGGTTGGGTTTTGTTTTTGGACATTTGCCCTAAAAAAAAGTAGAAGGAAATAACTGGGCTTTTAGAATGACCTGTGGTGAAGAGGAAGGGTATTCCTGTAGCTAAGATGCAGTCCTAGGATTCAGATTTTAGTCTCAGCTCTGCTATGGACTTGCTGTTTGACCTTGGCCAAGTAGTTTAACCAAGTTTTATGTTGTCTTTAATTTCCTCACCTGTAAAATGCAAGTAAGTTGCCCATTTCACCTGGGTGTTTTGAGGTTAAATTAATTTAATGGTTATAAATGCATGAAGATCCTGAGGCAAGATGCCATAAAATATTAATAAAATACAGTATTTCAAATTGTTTTAACAAACATTAACTAATTCTCCTAACACCAGAGGGGGAGGTATAAGCTTCCCCATTCTACAAATAGGGCAACTGAGACATAGAGGTTCAGTGTCTTCCCAAAGGCACATAGCAAGTCAGGAGCTGAGTTGGCATTACAACTCAGGAGTTTCTGCCTCCTCTTCAAGCCAACTGAACCAGAAGTTGCATTTCAGATTCACTGGACAAGGCATTGTGAGGTATGGTGCAATAGCAGTTGACACCTACACTATAAACATCTGGGTAGCTGATAAGGATGAATGACCCAGAAAGAACGAGCAAAGCTTGATTTTGAGATTGTAAGGGGAGTTTGCAGGGCTGCACGCTGGCAAAATCCTTCTTGGCTTGTAAACTGAGCAAATTTGATCTGTAATCATTGAAACAATAAACATGGAAGCTGCTGATGGTGACACTTTTACAGAGTAGCTTTTCAGAGTAGAACTGTACACTTCAAACAGGTTCATTGAGGTAGAGGTACTGGTTTTTACTGCAGGATTCAGCTAGAAATAGCACCATTGTGTTTAAAAGGACACTGTCAAATTAAACATCAAATCTTCCTGAAAATATTTTACCTCTTGTTCCATGTTATGTCTAAGCTGAATGAACAAGTATAAGACATTAGAGAGAAGGAATTGACTATACAGAAGATGTTGCCAAATGCACAATTTCTCTTTCCTGTGGTAGTCTGTTTGTGTGGATCTTTCATACAACAGGTGTGTCAAAATCAGAGGCAAATGTGATTGTAAAATTCTCAGTGTTCCCCAGGATTCAGAGGCAGGAACAGTATCAGCAACTGCTTTTTAACCATTTTTTTTTAAAGTAAATTTGTTCATCTCTAACTTGAAATCTGTTATTTGGGCATAAGCTTTCGTGGGCTAAACCCACTTCATCGGATGCATGCAGAGGAAAATACAGTAGGAAGATACATATACAGAGAGAACATGAAAAAATGGGTGTTGCCATATCAACTGTAATGAGACCAATTAATTAAGGTGGGCTGTTATCAGCAGGAGAAAAAAACCTTTTGTAGTGATAATCACGATGGCCCATTTCAAACAGTTGACAAGAAGGTGTAAGTAACAGTAGGTGGAAAAAGAATTAGCATGGGGAAATAGTTTTTACTTTGTGTAATGACCCATCATCCACTCCTAGTCTTTATTCAAGCCTAATTTAATGGTGTCCAGTTTGCAAATTAATTCCAATTCTGCAGTTTCTCATTGGAGTCTGTTTTTGAAGTTTTTTTGTTGGAGAATTGTGACTTTTAGGTCTGAAATTGAGTGACCAGGGAGGTTGAAGTGTTCTCCGACGTGTTTTAGCCCACAAAAGCTTATGCCAAAATAAATTTGTTAGTCTCTAAGGTGCCACAAGTAATCCTCGGGGTTTTTTTGCTGATACAGACTAACATGGCTACCACTCTGAAAGATTTCGAGTTGATTGTGTCCCTTCAAGCAGCATAAATGGTTGTAGCAAGGAACTGAGTTGTTCTTCAAAAGTCTTATTCACTGGGGGAGCAGGTTCCTTGGCAAAGATCACTGCTGAATTTTTGCATCTTTTACTAACCTGTGAATTTCCAATGGGGGTGATGTTGCAGAGACTTTCCGCTGCACCTACTGCAATGCTGAAGTGGAGGAGGATGCCTCTGCGCTTCCCAAACGAGATGCTCGAACCTTGCTAGCAAAATTTAACGAACAGATTGAACCCATCTTCGCACTACTGCGCGAGACTGAAGATGTTGTTCTACCACATGATTTGCTTGAACCTCAGCCAACAGAAATTCCAGAGCTATCAGAAAGGTATGAAGAGAAATCCCTTCTCAATCCAAGTTATAACTTATGGAAAACCAAATGTTTTCTGGCTCACTTCTTCCAGAGCATAATTTAAGCTAAACTTGTAAATCTTTCTTCCCATTTAAGTGGAGGACAAAAAGTGGCCCAAGGTGGTGAGGTAAAATCATGTTGACTAGAATCACGAATTGTCTTTCAAAAGGCCACTAAGGCCTATTTTTACATAAACAATTTTAGTTCTGACTCCTGCGCATCTAAACATTGGCACCTTTTCTTCACTGTGCTTTCCTTAAAACTAACAGCCTACTTCTCTCTGTATCTGCCTAAGATCCTGCTAACTACTTAAAAAATTAGAATTGACACAATTTGCTAGGCTCTCCTTTGCTTCTTTCCCTCCCTGTCATCTTATTTTTCATGCCAATCTCTTCCTTCTCCTATTATCTCCAACCCAGTTATCTGCTCTCTTGCTCCTAACTCCTTCCACTACTAACCTTAATCCCCTTCAGCCACCCACCTGTCTCAATTTCCTCATCATTGATACCATTACCAGTGACTCCTAGATCTGCCTTGTTGACAGGTTTGTTTTTTGTTTTGTTTTTTAACTTTCTCACTTAAGCCCTGTCCTTGCCTCATTTCTTAATCCTTCCTATTACCCAAGCTCTCAGTCTTGATGTCACTTTTGATTCTCCTCTGCCTCCTTTCCTGCACTCCCAGGCTGTCAAGCACATCTTACTGCTTCTTTCTCTACACTTCCAAAGTTCCAGCCCCCCAAACTACTCATTGGCAGGCTTTCCTAACACTTCCTCGTAGACTACTGCTTTTTACTTCTTACTCGCTTACAAATAGGGATGGAGACAGAGAACTTTGAATCTTCTTGCACACCTGCCCAACAACTCCTTTGTCTCCTCTAAACTTTGTCATCCTTTCACGAAGTCTAGACTGGAGTCTCTTTAATGCTTCACTGAAACTACTTCTTGCTTAATATGTGCAAAGTTCCATGCATAGAAAATAATAAATAAGAAAACCTAAAATCCTTTTCTGTGCAATGTTCTAGTTTCATGGCTCTTTCTACTCTATTTGTCTTGTATTGTGCCTGTTTGGTTTTTTTTTTACCATAACTGCTTAACGTACAGAACTGTGTTATGTTTGGCATATCTGTAGTATATGGCACTCTAAAAACTCCCAATTATTAAATGTGTGTATTTACCCCTCAAACTCAAAGATTTTTTTTCCACATTGGGGAGAATTTCTTGCTTCTTAAAAGTTTTATATTTCTCTCAGTACTACTTTTGGCTACTCTCTCGTTCTCTTTGCTCTCTACTGTCCTGTGAAAACCATGACATTAATCCTGACAATACACTTGATCCTAAAATGTATTCTAGAAAAGGGTATGCAGCTATTAACAGCTCAGAACCACACGTTAATCATGGGTTGGGGAGGAGATAATTTTATCTCAAGATACAGTGTAGCTGGCCAAACTGAAATTAATCTTGTGTCAGTTTCCTTGATAGAGAGATGAGGTGGTGGTGTGTTTTTGTGTGTGTGGCGGGGATGGGGGGGGGGGGGGAAGACTTTTAAATACCCTGAGGTTTTGGGAGAGTGACTCTCTGCAAGCAAGAATTAAACTTTTTTCCTTCAGCTTTGAACAGAGGGTATGTTCAAGCATCCTGGACTCCAGTATCCATCTTGAGAAATGGGCCAACAAGAATTCATCTGTCAGTAATATGTATGTTCAAAACTTGGTCATTGATTTCCAAGAGTCTGAGCCAAAGAAGAAAGGGAAGGAAAAAGTGACTAAAGAACATCCTATATGGATGTCCGAAAGTACTGTACAAGGAGCATCTTCAAATGCAACTGATTCCAATATTGGTAAGACAAAGTTTGAGAACCTAAGATTTGAATGTATGGTCATGTGTTGATATGGCTGTCTCGTTAGGAATGTACTGTAATTAATTCTCTCCTCACCCCCACATTAGTAGCTGGTGGATGCTCAGCATTATGAAAACTGTCCTCATGTAGGGACCTAAATACAGATTTAAGAACCTTGCTTTATGCACCAAATCCTGGAAAATCCCAGTCTTTTAGTAGCCTTATATTTTAAAATGTCTTCTTGAATGATGTATTCTATGTAACAACACATCTTTGTAAAGCTCTTCTCAATCTGGGAAGAGCAGGAAACTGAATGCTTCTTTAGGGATATTTATATCTGTACAAGTACCTGTGTAGGGAGACTTCTGCTAGTAGAGGGCTCTTTAATCAAGCAGACAAAAGCTTGACAAGATTCAATAGCTGGAAGCTGAAGCTAGATAAATTCAAGCTGGAAATAAGGTGTATTAACAGGGTAACTAACCATTTGAACATCTTGCCAAGGAATGAGATGGATTTTTCATTCCTTGAAGCCTTTAAAACAAGATTGGGTATCTTTCTAAAAGATACATTCTAGCTCAATCAGACATTATGACCTGTGATATATAGGAAGTAAGATTAATTGATACTAGTTCCTTCTGGCCTTTACAAATATAAATCTATACAGAGCAAGATTTTTCAAATGCTAGTAGTGATTCAGCATGTTCACTTAGACACTTTAAAGTGTACTAACTTTCAAAAAGTGCTGAGCACTCCCCTTTGAAAACTGGGTGCTTTTTGGGCACCAAGTTGAGAGAGACCTTATTCACTAGTCACTTATGAAAACGCTGGCCTCGGACTCCAATAGCTGAACATGAAGTTTGGATTAGATTTATGAACAAAGATCCAAAGGTTTAAAGGAATATTCTGTATATAAGGCTGGGGGTCCAGTCTACTGATAAACAGGAAACCAGTATTAACAACAGAACAAACCATTAAAGTAGGTCAGTTTAATCAAATATGATCTTGTTCAGAATTCTTCAGTAGAGGAGTAAGTTATATAAAGTGCCAGATGCAACTACAAAAAATATCTTCAGTGGCTCAATGCTGCTTCTGTAACTTAAGTAAGAAGCTATATTTCAAACACAAATCTAATTTTATTTCCTAACTGATACATCTGGTGCTGAATTACAGAAGAACCAGGGTGCCATGTCTAGAAAACCATTGAAACAGGTATGCTCAATATCAGATACAATAACTACAGCTGAGATGGCTCTCTATATATTTTAAAGGAGAGCTGGAGGTGCATTTACTGTCCATCTCTTTCCATCCTATTTTAATACACTTCATATACCCTGCTTATAAATGAACAGGAAAACACTCATTTCATTCGCTTGTGAAAGATGTCTTATAATCCTTTGATTGCAATTGTCAAACTTAAATAGGATTGTTCAAGTGGAAAATTACTGGTCTGTTTACATGTTAATTGCTTGTGGCTTATTTGATGCTCTCTTGTTTTTGGGAACAGAAATGTCCAAAGAAACGGATGACTGTGTTAAGGAGGCTGTTACTGATAATGAAGTAATAAGGACCCTTCTCATCCATGAATCTAAGTCTTCCTCTGGCACAGGGCATCCCCCTCCTCGTGCCAAAAACAAACTGCATGAGTCAGAAAGTGACACCAGTGAATCAGAGGAGGACGCCAAACATGCAAAACCTGTGGTAGTTAAAGCAGCAGGGAGTGACTTGGAACAAGAGGAGCAGGAAACACTGGATCCGACAGTAATGGTTGCTGGACAGGCCCACTTGTACAGTGAAGTTAGTGACAATCCAGAGCTAGTGTCATTTATGACAGATGAAGAGAGAGAAGTTTACATCAAGGTGGGACAAGAAATGTTCCAGTCTGTCTTTGAGTAAATGCATGAATTAAAAAGCAGTTGTTATACCACTCGTGTAAGTTTAGATGTTCTGCGAAGTTCTTTCTGTAGCTTAACCTACAGTAGTTGTCGGGTGAAACAAATGTAAAGTTCAGGATATTTTTGTGAAGGTGGTGGTGAGGTCTGAATCTGCTCCTTGGAGAGCTTGCTATTTATTTTTTGCTCATGTTATTTCTCTAAAGCAACAAAGTGAAGATGTTGCAGATAACCTTGGTTGGTTTCAGTCTAGAGCAGGGGCAGGCAAACTTTTTGGCCTGAGGGCGGCATTGGGTTTCAAAAGTTGTATGGAGGGCCGGTTAGGGGAGGAGGGGCGTGGCCTGACGACTGCTCCTCCCCCACCGCTGCACCATCCAACCCTCCCTTTCCTTCCTGACTGCCCCCCCTCCCGGAATCCCTGCCCCATCCACACCCCCACTTCCTGACTGTCCCACCAGGACCCCTGCCTCCATTCAAAACCCTATTCCGGCCCTCTGACCTCCCTGACTCCTCTCCACCCCCCCCCCCCCCCCAACTACTCCATGAACTCCCTTGCCCTCTGTCCAACCCACCTGCCCCCTTACCGCGCACAGAGCACCGGCTCAGGCCAGGCTCTGCAGCCCCCCCGCCCAGAGCATGGCGCTGGTGGTGCAGTGAGCTGAGGCTGCGCAGGAGGGGGAACAGCAGGGGCTCAGGAGCCGGGCATGAGGGTCCCATGGGTTGTAGTTTGCCCACCCCTGATCTAGCGTATTTAAATTTTTTGTTTCCATATAGTTCCTGTTTGTGAAACAGTCCTAAATTTTGTTTAATATGCTAAGTATTGTACTCACTTTTGCTTAATATGCTAAGTATTGTAATGAAAAGACAAAATGTAATGCTTTAATTACTTTAGAAGCAGGAATCATCCTGTTTGATCAATAAATAAATTGCAACAGGACACAATTGTCTGAGTGCTAAAATATATGCCTAAAACCAAGTGACAGTCAGAACCTAAATATTAAAAGATCTAACAGGTCATGTAATCCATCTCCCTGCCAAGGCAACGTTAGATTAATTTCCCTTTCTTGATAAGCAAGTTAAACTCATTGTTGCTGTAACTCCTTCATGCCAATGTGTCCAACAATTCTTCTGGAGTGTATGCTTCTACTGAGGTGGAGTATTAATGGCAGACAGAACAATCACAAAGGGATGTCCCTGCAACAAATCCCTGCTCCCAGATTTCTCTTTCTAGAGTTAATACTAATACTTGAAATCAAAGCAATGAACAGTCATAACAGCTTGACAGATAATTTAAAAAGAAAATTGTCTGGATTAGCAAAACTGTCCAAACAAACAAACCCACACAGTTAAGAGAGATTACCAAGTGCTCTGCAACTGATCCCTTTTGGGATGGGGAGAAATTTAAAAAATCTCAGGGTAAAGTGTGAGCTGAAGTCCTGGAGAAGAAGTGGGTTCGAGGACGTGGGCTGTAGCTCACGAAAGCTTATGCTCAAATAAATGTTAGTCTTTAAGGTGCCACAAGTACTCCTTTTCTTTTTGCGTATACAGACTACCACAGCTGCTACTCTGAAATCCATAGGAAATGACATCATTCATAGTCCAAGGCCAGAAGGGACTATTGCAATCATCCAGTCTGACTTCCTGTACAACACAGGCCACAGAATTTACCCATAATTCCTGGAGCATATGTTAAAAAAAAAAAAATCTCCAACCTGATTTAAAAATTGCCAGGGATAGAGACTCCACCATGACCCCTAGTAAACTGTTCCAATGATTAATTACACCCACTATTAATTTATTTCCAGTCTTAAATGCTGCAGTGTGTTAGCCTTTGTCTGCTAGATTGAAGAGCCCATTATTGAACAGTTATTCCCCTCTAAATATTTATAGACTAATAATGTCATCCATTAGCCTTCTCTTTGAAAGAGCACACTATTGATCTTAATCTGTCTCTATAAGGCATCTTTTTCTAATCCTTTTCAATCTATCAACATCCTGTTTGAATTGTGAGTACCAGAACACGACATACCATTACAGCAGAGATTGCACCAGATATAGAGGAAAAATAACTTCTACTTTTATTGAAGATTCCCCTCTTTATGCATCCCAGGATGGTGTTTGCTCTTTTGGCCAGGGTCACACTGGGAGCTCATGTTCAGTTGATTATCCACCATGACCCCCAACTCTTTTTCAGTCAGCTTCCCAGAATAGAGTCCCCCATCCAGTAGGTTCATATGGTCTGTTTATTCCTAGATGCATATGTTAATTTAGCTGTATTAAAACATTCTTTGTATGTACCCAGTTTACCGAGTGATCCACACTGTTCCGAGTCAGTGACAGTTCTATTAATTACTTACCACTTCCCCAACATGTCAGCTGCAAACATTTTCAGTGATTTTATTTTCTTCCATAGCCTTAACATTAAATTGCATATGTTCAAGAACTGATCCCTGCAGGCCCCCCACTAGAAACATCTGCTCAGTGATGATTCCATGTTTACAATTCAAGACCTATCAGTTAGTTAAACCCACTTAATAGCATTCTATTTTTTTAGTCATGAAGCTTCAGGCTGCATTGGTAAATCAGAGGTAAAGCTTACATTGTTCTATGAAAGTAAATACACTCATTTACCATGTTACTTTGGTTTTGTAACTAGATTATGCTTCAAGCAGTAGTGGCAGGTACTGTATTATGCCTTTGGTCCCTAAAGGGTTCCTGGCCCATTCCCTTTTGATGTACTATTTCATTTCCTCTAAGCAATAGTTACCTTTCCTAGGTATATAGTGTTCTTGAGTACCTCTTTGCCCCTGTATCATATTTGATGATGAAGCCACCAGAACACTGGCTTAAGTCTACTTTCTCTTGCAATCCTATTTAAAGTGCTATACACCTTTCTGGTATTATGTAAATGTAATCTAAGTTATGCAACTTTAATAATAGGATGATTAGGCTGAGGAGGGAAGGATAAGTTCACAGGATCCATGGACAAACTACAGCCCACAGGACCATCCTGCCTGGCCCTTGAGCCCCTGGCCCCTCCCCTGCTGCATCCCCCCACAGCCTTACTTTGCCACTCTGCCAGCGCTCTGGCCTGCTGCTCTGAATGGCAGGGTAAGGGGGAAGTTGGATAAGGGGCAGGAGGTTGCAGGGGACAGTTAGGGGTGGAGGTGTGGATAGGGATTGGGGCAGTCAGGGGAAGATTGGTTGGGGCAGAGGTTCAGGGTGGGGGGGTTGGGATGGAGACCAGGGTGGTTGGATAGGCATGGGAGTCCTGAGGAGGCAGGGAGGGTGCGGGATACGGGGCAGTCAGTGGACAAGGAGCAGGGGGGGTTGGATGGGTCGGCAGTTCTGAGGGGGGCAGTGGACCAGGCTGTTTGGGGAGGCACAGCCTTCCCTACCCAGCCCTCCTACAGCTTTGCAACCCCAATGTGGCCCTCAGGCCAAAAAGTTTGCCCACCCCTGGACTAGAACTACAGTTGGAAAAGTGAGGCATTGTCATAAGAACCATTTTAGCTTGGTGGAAAACACAGAAGCACCTCTATTCCACAGTAGATACATCTTACAAAAGGCAATAGCTCTAAGGCAGGGTCTTTTTGCCATTTCAAGTGTTCTGAACACTTGTCAAAATGGGGGACTGTAAAGATACAGAAGTGATACCTGGATCAGCCCACCGATAAGCATACTACAGCATTGAGCCTCAAACCATTTTTCTTGATGAATGAAATGTTGGGAGCCCTCAGTGTAACTGATGTGAAAGTGAGTCCTTGAGACATTCTGCCTGAGGGCTAGTCTGTCTGCTCAGTTCTTTATTAAACAGCTGAAGTTGGAAGTCTAGACACAAGACAGCTGAGGCCTTGGGCCAGGTGACTACTCACATGTACACCCCAAGCATTGACTGTAGTGCTTTAGGAAAACTTCTGCTGTCTACCAAAGCGACAGACTTAAACAGTAGACATAGCTCGTTCTATTCATTTTCCCTGTGGTGGATCAATGCTGACATGTGGGTGAATTCAGAGAATGCCTTGTTCAAGGAACTTTGAAATTCTAAAAAACATCTTAAAGCACTCATCACTATGAAAAGGTAAAAAGAAAAGCTGTAGCTCCTAAAAGCTTATGCTCAAATAAATTGGTTACTCTAAGGTGCCACAAGTACTCCTTTTCTTTTTGCGAATACAGACTAACACAGCTGTTACTCTGAAACCTATGAAAAGGTAGTGATTTCTCCTACTCTAACTGTTGTAACTGCAGCAGGGAAGACTGTTTTGACCAATAAATACTGCAACCAATCTTTAGTTCAATGGCTTAAGTGGCATAACCATCTGGCAGATTCCTAGGCCCATGTTTGAACCATATGTTCAAATACAGTATCTGCAGGCTTCAAGATTACCACACAGCTTAGGGGTGTCTTTTTGGCTCTGAGCAAAAAGCAAACAATCCTTATCACAATTTAATCTCTATAGAGAATAGAGAGGCTTGTCCCCTCTGTCCATTTCTCTCCATGCCCCCCCCCCTCCATTTGTACAGAAGTTGTGCAGTAGTGAGGAGCAGTTATTAGTGGGTCTGTATTACTCCTCTCTTCTGGACTCAAGCAGCAATGCAGCTGCTGAACTTGTTCCCCCAGTTGGAGAGAATGACTTCGACTGTCCAATGATCATCAAACAAATAAGGAAAGGAACTACTCAAAGGATGCAATTACTGGAGCCCCAACATCAGGGATGCTTTCCGCACCATGTAGGGAAACAGCCTGTCAAGGTTCCTCCCCCACTCTGAACTCTAGGGTACAGATGTGGGGACCTGCATGAAAAACCTCCTAAGCTTATCTTTACCAGCTTAGGTCAAAACTTCCCCAAGGTACAAAATATTCCCCCCGTTGTCCTTGGCCTGGCCACTACCACCACCAAACTAATACTGGTTACTGGGGAAGAGCTGTTTGGACGCGTCCTTCCCCCCAAAATACTTCCCAAAACCTTGCACCCCACTTCCTGGACAAGGTTTGGTAAAAAGCCTCACCAATTTGCCTAGGTGACTACAGACCCAGACCATAAAACAATCAACCCTCCTCCCCTCCCCTCCCCCCCCCTTTAAAAAATTTAAAATTTTTAAAGGGAGGGGGAAAGGGGGGGGGTAAGGGAGGAATTTGTTGGGGGGGGGGGGGGGGGGGGTTTTTTTAATTTAATAAGGGGGGGGGGGGGGAAAAATGGAAAAGGAGGGGGGAGATACACTGGGGGGGAGGAACAGAGGACCTTGGATCTTAGGAGAACCAATGAACACATCCTCCCAATGGCTAGGCAGCCGTTCTGCGGAAATGGCCTAGGGGACAGTGGAACTGATTGAGTAGCAGTGTGCCCTTGTTGCCAAGAGGCCAATGCATTTTGGGATGTAAAAGGGGAAAAAAAAAGGAGAAAACTTCCCCCTATTCGAAAATGGGAGGCCCATCTGGAGTACTGTGTCCCCCCCCCCAGGGGAGGAGGGCCAAGGAGGGGGAGAGGGGGGGGGGGGGAGGAGGCAAGGGAAGGGGAGGGGGGGTGGGAGGGGGGGCGGGGGGGGGGGACCTCCTTAGGTTTAGGGGGGAGAACCGGGGGGGAGGGATAAGGGGAGGGACTTAGGAGGGGGGGGAAAAACCCTGGGGGCCCCCTCCCCCCCATATATTCTAGATTCTAGATTCTATGTTGGATAAAAAGCCTCACCAATTTGCATAGGTGACCACAGACCCAAACCCTTGGATCTGAGAACAATGAAAAAGCATTTAGTTTTTTACAAGAAGACTTTTAATAAAAAATAGAAGTAAATAGAAATAAAGAAATCCCCCCTGTAAAATCAGGATGGTAGATATCTTACAGGGTAATTAGATTCAAAAACATAGAGAACCCCTCTAGGCAAAACCTTAAGTTACAAAAAAGAT